AATTTATGATCGCCCTACATCGGCGACCTTCCACAGGTTTATTTGGGGGAGCTATGGGATCTCTTATCGAACGCAACCGCCGCCCCCGACTACAACCGCGACAACGTTACAGCCAGATACCGTACCTGGAAACAAGTATCACGTGTGTCTTTTATAGTTACGGTATGCAGTTCTCTTTCCAGTACATTTCCCAGGTTTTTTCGGCACCAATGGCATCCTTTTCAAATAGACAATTCCCCCATAGAATGTCCCCATTGGAAAAGCATTTCGGAGTCGTCGCGGTGCGTACTACGACCTAGACTCTTGCGGCTCCGTGTTTTCGGCCGAGAAATTGGTTCACGGGGGAACTCGGGTCCCTCGAAAATAACCCCGGGCACGCGCAACTTCCGGTTGAACGATCCTTTTGGGGATTACGTACAGGGGAAACGGTCCCGGGAATCGTAAAAATCTCGACGCTAGCTTTTAGCCTTAAGAGGGTTAAATGAATAGGAATTTAGGTGCTGCAGCTGTACCAAAAGTTAGATGACGTGCTTTAAAATTGTTGTTTAGATTTAAATTGTCACCGTCAACTATTGATAGAACGGAATAACTATCGGACGATCAAATTTTGTTTGCCATTTCCTTTAGATCATCCTAATTTCTTACACCTGCATCTTAAATGAAATGTTTATACCTTCTTGATATTCAAATTTTCTTCGTATACCTTTCCAATGTGGACCATTAAAATTCCCAATTAGCATTAGAACACTGCCAAAAAAACTCCAGAATGTACGGATGAATCGAAGTTTAATCAGGCGTCGTAAATACAAAAGACAAACGAGGCGTGCGGAACAGGTGACGCGGGCTCGTTTCCAATTAGCGATGGTATCTTGACGAGATTGGATGACGGGGCGGCAGAGGAACGCGTCGCGGCGTCGAATCGTAGTCGTTTGCGGTGGTCAGAAACGAGTGACGAATTTACAGCGGCCGCAAACTGCACGCCGACGGCCGGCCCGTGCGGTCAGCTCTCGGAGCTGCGCCGCGTCGAGAGGGGCCTCGGTTGCCGTGGTGCGGCTTTTCATTGAAATTCATTGGGGAGGAAAAAAAAGCGGAGTGTAACCGGGCAGCGCGGAGAAACGTGGCCCAGTTCCGGCGTGGACGCGCCACGGATTCGTCGAATACGCTCCGGCAACCAAGGACACGCACAGCCCTGCTCGAATATCTGCCGGAATAGCTTATTGGCCAGTGAACGGGACATTGATAAATTAATTCAGACGGATAGGGATCATACGCGGATACCTCGTGGTTGATTATGCGGGGCACAGATGCACGGTAAGCGGATTAAATGCGAACTACCTCGGGACATCGGCAAGAAACTTCCGTCTTCGGCCACCATGCAGAGTCTCAGGCAGTCCGTAAGTTACCAGTCGCACATTGTGCGGGGAAGATGAGCATCTTTGCGGAATTAGTTTATCGTTGAGAAGATTAGGATACGGAAGGGAGAATGCTGAGTGCGGAAATTAAATTGACGATTTTTTGGACGCAGTTTAGTGTCTACTCGCGAGGAGATTATAGATTTTTCGGTCTTTTAAATATTTGCTATATATCATTTATAATGTTCCAGTTCGCAGTTTCACGGTTGTCAATTGTTCCGAATTTTTCCATTTTTCATTTTCTATTTTCCATCTTCTCGCTTTTACAGTCTCGATTCTTCAATTTTTGAGTTTCCCAGTTCCCCATCCTTCTCTTTTCTAAATTTCTAGTCTCCACCATTTCGGTATGATAAATCACAATTGCAAAACGGTAAAAGCATTAGCCGTTCCGCGACCGCTCAATTACCAAATCTCAAGACATTCTCAATACCATCGCATCGATTATCCCCGACAGCGTCGATTTTCAGACAAAGGTCCCACTACTGACAAAGTTTCCCAAGTGTCATTGACGAATCGGTATGCGGCGGTCGTTAGAGGAACGGCTGCAGAACCTTCAGTCTTATCAGTTCGCAGAAAGACCTCATTCGTAAATCGTTTGCGGGCCGCTCGCATTTCTTCTCCACTTGTCGCCGCTTTTGTCCGCCGTTTAAGCGTAGTAACTCGCGACGCGGAAGCCGATCGAATCGATACTCGGAGGGACGGGTGTCGAAGATATCCGCAGAAAATTCTTTTTCGACTCGGTGTGTCCCTCTTTCCCCGCCCACCAGCCGTGCACTGTCGTTATCCCAGCGAGCGGGTAATCCGAAACCGGGCTATCGATAGAGTCAGCCATTTTCCTATCAGACATTGGAAAAACGTGTCTATCGAATTGGAATATATAACGCGGCCCGGAGGTGGAAGAGATCCGGGGGAAGGATATGATCGTACGTGGTGGTTTCCACGTATCATCTTCCTTCTCCAGCCAGTTTTCTGCCGCCCGATTCAACCGGCTCGCGAGCCTCCCATTCTTCTCACTCGTTCGTGCACACCGTACCGGAGAATATTTCTTCTTATCGACAAGTTGCAATAGCGGAGCCCTGGAATATATATAGATATATACACTTCCTGGTCGCTTTCTTCTTAAGATCGGATCTCTTCAACGAGGCAGAGTCACGGGAGCAGAAGGCCGGGGAGTATCACCTCCGTACAACTTCTTGTATCCTATCTATTTTGCTTCTCTTTTCATCCTTTCATCCCTTCCTTTCTTCCTCTGTCCCTTGTTTCTTCTCTCTTGTGGCGGCACCTTATACTTCTCGCCACTAGAGAACTATGAAGATCTACACGTCTTTGCAGTTCCTATTTCGAATCGATAGTTATATTATATGTTTTTATATATGTATCGGTAGTTATACTAACAGTATTATTGTATATATATACGATTATACTCTGATTTATGAAAGAAGAGCTCTTGGAGGTAGATCCGACGTTTCGCGTTGTCGACTAATCTGCTTGCGTGAATCCGATCTTGTTTTATTGAAACTGTAATATTTCTAATAAAATTGTTAAATTGTTATAAGAACTTCACGGTTTTCGTTTGTGAACGCAGCTGTGAAATAGACTGTTTACTTGATTCTATTGACTGGGCGCCCGTAATAAATGTCGCGACTGCAGACGGATTATCAAATTCCTGGAAAATAATGTGAACAATGTGAAAATATTTTATTTTGTATATATGCAGTAATGTGCAATTCGTAAATCTTCATTATGTCAGCCTTGTGTACAAGGCATAGATTCACTGGGAAATGTCACCAACGATTTGATTAGCAAATTTCGAACATAACGGACTTTCCTTCTCCCCTTTATCCTTCCTTTATTCCTTCCTGGTAGCGCTGCTTTAATTACACTGGTTCCACAACCTTTTTCTCTCGACTTTTCCTTTTTTCTTTTTCTCTTCATCGGGTAATTAGTCTTGCATAATACCGTCGCTATTTAAATCACGGTTTGTCCCATGTTTAAAAAAAGGAGGAGACAATTTATTTTCAACGAGGCTCGGTCACCGCGACCAACTTTGCCTCAGTTTTTTCATCCCCTTGAGGATGACGGACGGGTGGACGCGAAGTTTTTGATGAGGCCACTGAAAAATTCTGGGGAACTTTTATCAATCAGAATACTTGGCTACTACCTTTTGATCTCGTTAGAAGGTTTACGGTGAGGAATAGACAGGGTAGCGAACGCAGGCAGAAATTTGTTGTCGCGTGACAATTTGCGATTGTTTGGCTATTCAGCTCGAGAGGTTCATAATTTGCAACTTTCTGGTCAAGATTACACAGGCATCGAGGTATACATCTTGTATAATCTTATATTTTCAATCTGGCTGTACTTTGTTTCCAAAACGCGCGTGTATCGCAATAATGATAGTCTAAAAAATGGTGATTCAGTGTTCACCATTCTTTTTCGCAATCTCGTAGGATGGGTATTGTGAGTAGGGATAGCTTATCGTGACGAATTTATTAACATATTAACGTATTTAATGTAAGTGCAAACACTTCAGCAGGCGCGCAGTTCCACGCCACACTCACACATTCATACACACAACGCATATACGCTCGGCCACCCTACAATCTTAACCCCTTAGCTTGCACGCTCGAGTTAATTCGAGCGCGCTAAACAGGCCAAACTGTGAAAATAACAATGTGAAAGCAAAGAAAAAAAATCGTTTTATTGATATTTATCATTTACATGGGATTGTACGCTATAACACTTATTTATTCAAAAATAAAATATAGCCTTTTTCCATGGAACAAAAGCGCAGTATATCAAAATTGATTTTTTTTGGCCGGTGTTTTTAAAAAAAACTGTGCGTTAAGGGGTTAATGATCTAAATCATTATAATGCAAAACATTGAATAATTTTTGAAAATTTGTTCGCATTAACGCTTTATTTGACAGATAAAACAATTTTTTTGACAAAAAACGATTTGAAGGTGCTGGTACGTCGCATAGAAAATCAACAAGAATGTAAAGGGTTAAAATACGAGGAAGGATATGTTTTTGTTTCGATTAAACTCACACGGCTCACAGTAAATTTCGCGTGTTCCATTGACCATTTC